CCTGTGAATCTTTTGGAATAGAATGCAGTACATTTGTATTCAGTCCTGTATTTCAGTTGCTGTGTTTATTGTACCTGAAATTGTGCTTGTATTCATACTGTGCAAAGCCTTGCTCAGTAACATGGAGTATGTTATTTTCTTTATTAATCCACAGCAATGTTGCACAGCATTCTTAATAAGGTGAAAATTAGCTTTACTGAGGCATAATTATATAACAACAGTTATTCTGTACAGCTAGGTGGTTTACGTTTGTTCATTGTCTAATTTTGGTCATTAGATAGTCCTCAAAATGTTGCTGTGCTATTTTCACTGTCTCGTGATGTGCCTTTGCAACGCCTGAGAGCTGAAGGGATGTGAACTGTTCTGCCCACTGGATGGAGGTCTGAGGCATGATGATGTCGTTAGTAGTTAGATATCCTAATACATTTCTGGATCAGGGATTAACCAACATAACATCTTTAGGTTTGCATGCCTCACACTGCTAGAGAACACTGTTTGATTACGTGGCCTATTCCATGCTAATACTTGGTTTTTTGCTTTTTCAAGTCGCAGAATTCTTTGTGAGGATTCATCTCTCTGTAGGTAGTAAACTTACATGGCATAAATGAGCTCTTGATTGTCATTCATGTATTAAATGTATATGTGTTTCTCCCTGACCTGTGTATTTTTTAGGTATATAAGAGCTCAAACTCTAGATTCAGTAAGGTATTATTAAGAAAAAAATTACAATTAAAAACAAGGCAAACATTTCCAAGTTTCAGATCTAGGTTATGTTTAGCTCTTAATGGCCAGTATCTTCTGTTTGTTTTGATATTTTTTTTTTTCCCCCACATAAGTCAGCCAAGTTATAGTCCTTCTTGTGCATTTTCACAGCTTATCCAGTCTCACATCATCGCACCTCCTTGATTAGTGCAACATCATCTCTTTGGCAGTCCTTCCTCCTCGTATAAATTCAATGTGCTTCTGAGTGGATGTAATCAAATACTGATGATTTGATTTGATGTAATGAAATGTTGTTGCTTTGATTACAAAATTCTGTTCTTCACATCTTTTTTTTCTCTTCCCACAACATTTTTTTTTGTCATATTAATCATTAGATATGCCTTTGCTTTCAAGGTACTTCTAGACTTCTACGTCTATCCATTTCCTCTTATGCGTCTTCTTTCATTTGCTTTGACGCGTCTACACTCACTGCTCATCAGACCTCAGCATACCAGTTACCAGGGCTGCCGCATTTAATTTTCGAAGAAGCACTTTCTTGCTTGCTTCTAGGTTAACCTGTATGTTATAATGTGGACATTCACAAAGTTATTGCAGTGTCGTTTTCCAAATCCTTAAAAAAACCCCTCATTTCTGTTATACTGTATTATAAAAACTCATGACAGCTTTCAGGTTGCCACTGTACGGATATCATTGCCTATGGTGCTGTTAGTTGTTCCCTTTTACTTCTGTGTCTGCAGGTGTGTTTTTTCTTATACTTAAATTGTAAGCCTTTGAGGACAGAGATCATTTTTGTCCTGTGCTTTCACAATGTGGATCTGTGGTCCATAACCAGAGTTCATGTTATTGTGCAAATATAGCCCAAATTCAGCACTGAGTAAAAGGCATCTCCAGGCCTTATCACAAATGCTTTGCTGCCTTGTTCCTTTGCGTTAGCATATGGTCTTTCAAACGTGCTGTACTTTCAAGTGTAGATGATCAACTGCTTTAACATCTCTAAAAGTACTAGCTTTTCCTTTTTTTTCCAAGACAAATATATAACAGATGCATAAATGAACCATGGAATGAATGTGCTGCAGACATAGAGCCATCATTACGCTCTTCACAATCAAGTTTTTTCATAAGCTCATGTGGCGTACACCTGTGTTAAGTTAACAGTGCACTTAGGTGCAGTGTGGAAGACTTAATAATTCAAAGTGGAATTTGTTTCTTTGTTCCTTTTGTGCTCTTTCTCATATCCTCTCCCTTCATTATTTACTGTGCTCTGTTTGCCTTCTGTTTGTACTTACAATTACTTTTGCTAATACTTGATTTGGCTGAGGTTCAAATTCACCAACTAGAAATGCGGAAAGTAGTAAGTAGAGCCATACAGTGATACCACGTAAGGATGATTTTAAAATAAAATTTAGAAATTGGCAATCAATCTGTATTACCAAAAAAGTCCTTAAGATGCAGTGTACAGGGTGTCTGCTAGAATAACATTTGAAAATTAAGAAATGGGAATATGTATGAGCTGAAAAATAATGTGAACAGTGATTGAAGAGAACCAGTTGTGGGTTTGGGGTTCAACAAATAACTTGCTTTTATAGGTCTGTTTTATATATTGAAATCATACTTACTAGCAGTTTTATGCCCCTTCAAGTGGAAGTTTTCTAACATATAGCTGTGGGTTCTTTCATAGAATTGTTCTGCTACTTGGCTCTTTCATTTTCCTCAAAAACAAAGGCATTTCTTTCTCATCCTATTGTGAAGGGGAAATAGGAATTGGGTAGAAAGCCATCTGGTTTAAATTTAAAATGAAGGTGATGGCAGGGGGAGAAACATTTGTAGAACTGGCAAAATCTAAGACCATTTTCTCAGTTGAAGATGTATGCTAACCACTAACAGGTCTGCTTTTTAGTTTGGGGATCTAATTAGACTAATCTTGCTGTAAAAACCATCATTACAGACCAGCAGAGTGACAGCTGACCAAAATGTTAAAACTTTTAATGTAAGATGGTAGATTTCTCACACTCACTAATTGGCTTGCTCTTAAGCATACTGCATGCTGCTTACGGTCGCATGCAGCCTGCTCAGCAGTGTTTGTGCAGGCCATTCGAAGGAAAAGTTTATTAGACTGTGCTCAGTAAATACTACCTCTGTGCTCTGTAGCATCTGCTGTTAACTTCTGTATACTGTTGTCCTAAAAAATTTAAAAGTTTTAAGGCCTACCCACATCTGACAGTTTGTATTCCTTATAGATTGCCATGCTTTCTGCATGTTTTGAGGACACTTAATCAAATTGTTAGTAGAATTTGCAGCATCAAAATCGAAATAGTCCGAGCAGTAAATTGTCATCTGTGGATTTTGAATCTTTTGAACTTGACTGAATTATAGCTAAGTTGCGATATCTATTGAATTTCTTTTTGGCCTAACTCTTGGCCTACAAACTGTTGGCATTTGAGGTTTTGTACTTTCCAACAGAATCCATTTCAGAACCGTTACCTTTACTAGACTATGTATATTGATACCTGTTCTTAATCAAGAGGTTTAATTACCTATTCCACATGCAGTCCGGAGATTTCTGCACAGACAGGCATATTAACCATATTGTTTAATGACATCAACATGGATCGCTCCAGCTGATGGTAAGGACTAATTGTCTAATTGCATAGTTCATGTGTCTGGCTCACCTGTGTGTTTTATTTTGATGTCCAAACTGCTGTATCTCAATTACTGGAGATGGCAAGATTAAAGGCAATATAGGGATACCTAACTGACATGCAGATATATCTGAAGAGTCCTGTATAGATCTGTTCTCTTCTATATGGCAGTGTAGTTCAGTCTTTTCTTTTATATTGTGATAGATAGTTGCGTAATTCAGTGTATACTTTTAACTTGTGCTGTTTCACAGCTGATCATTTTCTATTTTGTAAGCACAGGAAAACTTACCTTGGACCAATAGCTTTTTGATGATTTTTAAAGTTCTCCTTGGTGAATTGCAGGTATTTAGAATTTCTATAAATGACAATAGGTAAAAAGAATTGTCAAAAAAACTATCTTGATGGAAGGGTTCTCCCAGAAATTTGAACTGTATCCTCTTTTAGGGGCTGAGCACCATCTTGATCTCATTACATTTTTTTCCCTGATCAGAGGCTCTCAGATGGCACTTTGTGGCAATAGTTTATTTGACCTGACCCAGAAGATTCTGGCTATTTGGAATGTGTTGTCATAAGCTATTAGTGATCCATCTGTAACAGGATTGTGCCTCTAGGCTTAGTATTTAGTTAAAGGGAAAAAAAATAAACACCCAGCTGGAAAACAAATGTAATTATCAAGTTTAATGGCACAAATATTCTTGGCAAGCAGACATTGATATTTAGATGAAAAGGTACCAACTAAGAGCAACCAGTGACAGAAGTGGTGGAGGAAGACTGACATCCCTCAATTTTCAAGGCATTTTAAACTCCTTGGGCAATAGTTATTATAAACTTAATGTGCAAGCCCCAGAGTTTCATGGGGTTTGCTAGTTTAATTTTTCATGTCTTTGATTTGTGTGTCAGGTTGTTGGATACAGAATTTTTTCACCACAGAGTTTTAATGCATGAATTTAAATACTATGCAGGCTACAGGACAGCTATTCATAAAGTGAAGGGCATCCACAGGCAAGTTTGAAAAATACTGATAATAAAGTTTGTATCTTTGGTCAAATGATTTTGTATAGTTCATTAAACAGTAGAAGCAGCAATGTCAAATGTCAAACTTGTCTACCTGACAATGGGTTGAAGAGTCAAATATTTAGATGTACTTTTTCTGTGAAATGAAGGTAGAAGTCTGCCTCTAGGACTGGAATTAACATGATTTATAATGATGATATTTAATACTTATTGAGGTAGCAATCAAATGCCAAACTGTTATTGGGGCAGATTTGTGCTACATGCTGGATGTAAAGAAGAATATGAGGTTTTGCCCCTCAACAATTTATAATGTGATTTAATATTATCTTTTTTTTCTTTTTTTTTTTTTAGCATAAGGCGGCATCAGGAGAGGAGAGCAATTTTAACTCCAATTTTAACAGATTTCACAGTTCGAATAACTGCAGCTCCTGCAATTATTTTTACAAAAATTGATGCTGCAGAGAACTTACACCCAGAGGTTAGTACAAAATGTGAACAGAAATAGCATAACTTTTAATATGTGGATAATCTTAATATTTTACTGTTCCACCATTTTAAGTGTCCAGATGTTTTCAAATACAGTGATTGCCAACTGGAAAAAAAAAAAGTCTTAATCACTAGTTGAAATGTCCTTTCTCTACTGGAGAAAGAATTTGTGTATAGCAGTCAATATTAAAGGCAGCCTGTCCAGAGGTAGATAAGCCTGTTTGCAATTCAGAAAATGGGAATCCTTTAATGATTTCCAGCAATATTTTTAAAAGATTGGTGATGGAAGGGTGTTGAGAAGAGGTGCTATAGTACAACATTACAAAACATTGTATTCACAAGCTTCTTATAAAGAAGCCTGAGAATGCAATCTATACACTATCTATAAGAAGAAATTTGAGCTGAGTTCTTTTAGCCAGGTTTTCAAGCCCACAAATTTCCACAAAGCATCCGCCCAACCATTACTGTGCGTACTTCAAGGTATTCCAGATTTAACAATCACTTTCACCAGTCTGTAGGTCAGCTTGTTAATGATTAGTCTGTGAAGAATGTTACACACAAAAGGTATTGGCTTCCTGTTTGGCGTTAGTTTGTAGTTCAAGAATTTAAAACAATTTATGTAGGGGAAATATCAGAAAGTTTTTGTCAGCTCACAAGGAGTATTTCTCCTAACAGCTACCTCCTGGGAAGAGCAAAACTGGTGCAGGAGTGTAAAGGGTATTAGGTGTGTATTGCATCGTGTACTACATGTACATTGTTGGGAAATAGTAGCTAATGGGTATAGAAGGAAAAAATTGACAGCTTCATATTTTGTGTAAAGTGTCATCACAAGGTCAGATGGAAAATTATTTAATGTAAAAAAGTAGAATGCTTAAGGGGTGGCTAGGATGCATAGAAGTTATTCAATTTTACAAAAAAAAAAAAAAATCTCTGAACTTTGCTAATGCTTATGTTCAAGAATTTCAGTGTTTTCTGTGCATACATCCTTCTTGTTATCTATTCCCTGGCTGACATTCATTGATGAAGGGAGAGGTCTAGTTTAGATTGTGAAGAGCTTGAACATTGTGTACCCTTCTCTTCTCATGAGAAGGGGCAGTACTTCTACTTATTAAGCAACCCTTCTGCATTGGTTCTGTTTTTCATCTCTTTATTGCTTGCCAACAGTGGTGAAGAGCTTTATTTTTGTGCTAGATAACACCAATAAAACAGTGGCCATCCAGCTAGCTTTGCCAAGGTATTAACAATGGTTTACAGGCAAAGAGAAATCAATTAGGTTGGTTATCAGTGAGTTCCAACACATGATTTCATTATAAATCAAGCAGAGTTTATGTTCTTTAAAAAAAAAAAAAGTCAATCAGTCTTGGAAGGGAAGGAGAATTCCAGTCATTGCTAGGAAATAAAAAAAAATCTGACAGTCCACTGTTTGATACTACCAAGAGATGGAAACAAGATCTCACACACAAGATGCTTTTCTTGCAAAATTTGTCGTAATAGTTATGCTGTTGAAAGCAAAGCAGAGAATAAGTGGCATCCTTGTTTAGAAGCCTGAGACACCACTTTCTCCTAAAAAGACCTAATTAATACTATATGCAATTTTGAAGCATTAACTACAGCAGAGGATCACAATACAGTTACAGAAGCTGAAAATTATTTCCCCAGTAGCTGTTATCTAGTATTTTCCCTTAATTTCTCCCCAGGAAATTTTGGTGTGTGGTCATTCTTTGGAGGTGAATGTGACGACAAACCTGGATTTCTTCCTCAGTGTGGCTCAAGTACAACTTCTTCAGCAGCTGGTACAAGCCAATGTGGTTGGACTGGAACCTTCCAGTAGCACCACTGAGGTAGGTTTTTCCTGGGTTTGCAGCTGGGTTTTTTTAGCATACCGTAGCTCTGATCAGGTGTTTGCATCATCTAGACAAAATTATATAGGTAAATGAAATACGTGTATTGTTATAGTTTGTTCAGTCAGCTTTAAAATGCATTCTAATGTTGTTCTAACAAAAGGATGTGTTATTCTAACAAGAATATTGTTCAGTAAATTAGACTAAGGTGCTTCTGCAACGTCTCATGTACAAGGAGAATTATCGTACATAAATGATGAAGGAAATAAATTTTTAAGTAGGTTTTTGAGGTTGTTTGGCATTTAACTTTAACTTTTATTGAAGCCTTGGCATCTTCTTACGAGTTCACATACTACACTGTGTGCTTCCTTAAAGCCAGTAAACTATAAAATTTTCACTGTGTCTGGTAACCACTACTCATTAACTATCTTCACTCAAGTCCCTAAGATTCAGTCCACCTCTGAATATTCTCATACTTCTTCAGTAAGAATGGTGATGGGTACATTATGAAGCTCCTTCATCTTCTGAACAATTAATCTCTCCTTTTTTTCTGGAATTTTACAGTGTTCAGCAACTATGTCTTGAATTTGTCATTCTTTATTTCTGGAAGATGATACCTCAGTTTGCACTAAGGGCCAGTCACTAACTGTGACAGACTTGTAAGTTTAAATTATTAAACTTCTGGGCTGATAGAAATAAAGATAGGAAAAAAGAAAGTGAAAACTTTGCCGTAAGAAAAAAGCTATGTATTTCTTCAAAACCAGGAATCTAGGCAGGCTGACAGCATATTTTAAAGACAGTAGAAGTTAATGTGTGACAAGGCACTAATTCCACTGGAATGATTGTTGGATTCATAGAGAAGTCTTCACAAATAAGAAAAAGACTTACGGAGAGAGTTAAAGAGCAAGACACAATCAACTTTTCCTTTCCAAGAATCTAGCTAATGGGAAAGCTGAAGAAACTTTTCTCCTTCCTTTACTGAATTTCACGCATTGAGCATGCAGCTGAGCCTGGGTGGAAGCGGAGAATGCTCTAGAGCAGCCAAACTACTTATATTCCTCTCTCCTCACCCTGTCAAAACCCCAGAAGTTGTTTGTATCCTGCTAATCTAGGCATCACATCATCTGCCCCTCCTTTTTCCCTTCCCAAGGATAGAAGGAAATAAAGGGCGTTGTTTCATTACCATGTTGAAACATGAAAGATGTGGAAAAGAAACACAGGGTATCTTTCTTTTCCTTGGATACTTTGCAGACACAGGGCCTCTTTTGGAGATGAACATTATAAATAAGTATATATGGGAATATCTTCAATAAATAATCTGTGGAGCACTGTTTTCCCATTGTCGGTGGAACGAATAGAATCAGAAGATTTGAATGGGTGCAAAGAATTTTAATTTTGAGATGGCACTGTGCGGAAGTGCTGCTTGACTGGTGTGGACTGTACATATTCAAAAGCAATTTACTACATAATTTCAGAAAGCTTTTTGTAGACTACATCCCAAGATGCCTATTTATTCTTCATTGATATCTCCCTCTCATTATTGAGGTCTCCTGTAACGAGGAATGAGAGTATTTCTGGTTCAAGGTGGTATGTCTTTTCTTTAATAAGTTGTAGAACTATATCTTGATTCACTATACTGAAAATGTAAAATCCAATAGTTGGTTACTTTTTGTCCAGTTCTTTCTTCAGTGTTCTGTAGTCTCATGTGCCTATATGAAGCCACCCCACCCTCTAATATATGCACATTCATTATTATCCTTATGTTTCTCCTTTAATCATCAGAGAGAAACATAATACACATTGTATGCTGCTGTTTTCATCTCAATGAATGAAGTCTGGAGCCTGCATATGGCTATTTGTACTTCATGCCTGCAAATTATTTCATTGCAAGAACCAAAACATAATTTAGGTTGGAAGACACCTCTGGAGTCCATTCTTTTGCTCAAAAGAACACTAATGTCAAAGCTAGATCAGGCTTTTCTTTTTCAGGCTCTAAGGAAGGAGGTTGCTCTCCCTCTCTGGGTAATTGTCCTGTGCTTAACTACGCTCGCTCTGGCAAGGTTTTGTCGTTACAGCCATTCAGAATTTTGCTTGATACAACTTTTAACCATTGTCTCTCAACATTTCAATGTGTATCTCCAAGAATGGTCTGACTTCATCTTGTTCATAACCCTGCTTTAGGTAACTGGAAACAGTAATTTGATACTCCACTACCATCCTTAGCCTTTTCTTTTTCCATCTGAGGAATCCTAGCTCTCTCACCTTCTCCTCATAAATCCTGTGCTTTAACCTGTTAACCCTCTTGATGATCCTCTGCCCACTCAAGTTTGTCAATCTTTTTCTTCTGTTATTGAGCTCAAAGGTAGAGACAGTACTCTAGATGTGGACTCACAAGTGTGTAATAAAAGGAAATGATCTCACCTCTGATCTGCTGGCTGTGCTGTTGTTAATGCTGCCCAGTAAGTGCTTAGCCTTTAACACTACAGGGGCATGCTGCTATCGTGTTCATTTCATTGTCCAACAGGACCCTTGGGTTCTTTTCCGCAAAGCTGTTCTGTAACAGTTGGCCTCCAGCCTGTATTTGGGTTGGGATATTTCCATCTCAGGTGCAGGAGTTTACATTTACCTTTGACCTTCATGAGGTTTCTGTTAAACCATTCCTCCATTTTGTCAATGTCCTCTGAATGGCAGTTCTACCCTCAGTGTGTCAACAGCTCTCCCCAGTGTGGTGTCATCTGTGAACTTTCTTTTGTATCATTGCCGAAGTCTTTAAGAAAGACATTAAACGTCATCAAACCTTGAGGAATGTCCCTCTAGTTAGAGTTCAGCTGCACTTTGGAACAGTGGCCAATTACTCTCTGATTTTAGTGGTCCAGTGCGGTTTCTACCCACATTGTAGTCCAGCCATTCAGTTCACACTTGGATCCAACAGTTTGGATACAAGTCTGCTGTGGAAGTCTCTGTCCAAACTTTGCTAAGGTCAAAGTAAACAGCATCCAGTACTCTATCCCCACTATTAATCATTTCGTCACAGGAGGCAGTCAGATTGTACTAAGGCATGATTTGCCTTTTGGCAATATGTGGTGTTTGTTCCCAAAAACTTTTTTGTCCTTCCAATGCCTGGAATTGGCTTCTCTGAAAATGTGTTCTGTCACCTTCCCAGGGTCTACAATGAGGCTGACTTTCACGTATGTTCCCTGGGTCCTCCTCCTTGCTCTTTTTTGAAGATGGGCATGACATTTACTGTTTTCCACACATCAAAGACTCTCCCAGACAACATGTCCTTTCACATATGATAAGGAGAATCCCAGCAGTGGCACTGGCCAGTGCCTCAAATACCTTTGGATATGTTCTGTCTGATATTTTAAGAGAAAAATTGAGCTGAAGTTATCCATCCTCCAAAGGCTTTCCTAAAGTATTGCAAATTACCTAGTCTGTTATGCAGGTCATAGTGATACACAGAACCTGTCCTGTTTCTCTTGCTGCAGTGTTCATCTTGATTTGCATTCAACACAGTCTTATTCAGCAAGACAATTCATAGAAAATAGCTTTAAGATGCTTTTTCCCCCCACAGTGCCTATTTGCTTTGTAGATTTAGAGCTTCTGGTTCGTAGTGTTTGAGGATTTTCACCAATATTTCTATTAGATGCTTAAGCATGAGTAACAGAAGAGTAGGAAGAAACAGAAGAAACTATATTCCCCATGGGAAAGCACAAAATGAAATGGAGAAACCAAGAAATTTTGCATTTCCAAATCAGAATGTATGAAACCTGCCCTCCAAACCTGCCCCAAGATAGCATGGCATTGATTTTTTTTTTTTTTTAAGTTGAAAGGAACAAAATTTTTTTTTTGTAGAAGAGACATTTTTATACATTTTTGAATAAATATTATTTTGGTAGTTGTACATGAATTTACACCACTGAAATGTTTGCATTAAATACTTGTGCAGTTATTTTCAAGGGTATTCAGAACCTATGCACAGACAATGCTTCTCTTCAGGGACTCGTGAATGAATGAGCAACCACACAATAAACAAAAGTATGTAAAAACAGTGCACACGGGCATTCTCTGAATAGGAAAGGGCATAAAGCAATGCCTTGAATGTCTTGAGATAACTGACTATAAATGAAATTTGGTTTATTGATTGTCCTTCTTTCTGCTAGAATAATGAAAAGGTTGAGATACATTCTTGTCAAAGATTTTGTTGAGTATCTGTCAAAAAGTGCACTTCAATACTGAAAAATGAACTGTAACAGAAGCTGTAGGATTCAAGAGTTGCCTAAAAGTAGGAAGAGAACAAGAGTGGTAAATTCTTCATGATTTTTATGCACTGGTGCCACTTTGAAGACACTGCAGATGAAATATTGAAAGAACTCCTAGAAATGCATTTGAATTTTTACAGATCTGACCATGGACCGCTGAAAGTTGCAAAAAATTCTGGGTTTTGAAGGTGTCCAGCTGATTGAAAATTCTGCATTGCTAGTAGGAACTTAGTCTTTTTAAAGAAAAAGCAATCCAGCATATAGAATACACAAAATCATTGTTCAGAATTAGTGAAAAGGTTTAGGGAAATTTAGGGTCTGAAGGTACTGATGAGCACCACGGTTGGGAGACAAAAAGAAAGTTAGACTGGAACTCAGATTATGAATGGAATTTTGTATGACAGTGACTTAAGGGAATGAGTGCATTTGCTTGGCTTTCCTCAGGCACTCCCATTATTACTAATTAAGATAATAATCTCAATTGTGTATCTTTCCTGCAGGCAAGCTGTTCAACCACATTTAAATATGTGGTGTTTCACCTGTTTTCAGGAAGCTGTTTTTACAGTATAAGGTCTTATTTAAAGGAAAAGTCAGTAGCGATGAATTGTATGTCCATCTCATTGTATTTGTAACAGACTCCTGCTAGTGTCTGTTCAAACACAGTTATGCATATGTTTATAATTACTGTTGGTTTGCTTTTTAGCATACAAAGCTTAAGATAGGACAGAATCATGGAAT